TTTTTGAATTCCAATCTTCAAATCTCTGGAATTATGTAATCCTTCTTTCACTAATAATCTCATCATTTTCTAGGAAGTTTAGGCCTAATGGACCCGTAGATAGTGGGCTAAATTTTATAAGTGGAAGAGAATAGTTGAATCCCTCTTTCACTAATGATCTCACTATTTTCTAGAAAGTTTATGCCTAATGGACCCGTAGAGAGTTTTTTTTTTTTGGTGGATAAACGGTCTGCCCACGATGGCTAGCAAGCAGCCAAGCACCATGGCTAGGATTCATGCTACTTTTTGTGATATTATTTTAAACTACTTCATAAATAAACTTTAATCGTTAGAGATAGAGACATCCAAAAAAAATTCAAAACATCCACCTATGTGCAAGGGCTGATTACCTTTTTTTTTTTAGTGTGTGACATGTGCATAAATTTTAAACACAAGTGATTGTGAAACTTGAACCTTGGGACTTGCCTTCAAAAATAGAATTTTTTTTGCTGGGGTGGTTATGAGTGATTATTAATTTTGACTCTTACGAAATATGTGGATAATAAATATAAGGATAAAACAAAATTGACTAGTTTAAAATATTTTAAGCTTTGCCAAGCACGCATTTATCTAAATTGTCTTACTCGCATTTGCAGACCTTTTGCATGACGAATCAATGAGGTATAGAATATTTGAACTAAACAATCAATCACTGATATTAGGTGGGTTAATTACATCAGTAGTCACTGAAGTTAGTTTCTTATCATAATTAATAGTCATTCAAGTTTCTAATGTTTATTCTAATAGTCACTCGATTAAAACACTAACATTGAATCTTACATGGAGCTATTAGTGTCAACGTGTTACCAAATGATGTTATTTACTGTTTTTAAAGGTAAATCTGATTGACGGTATGGGGTTTTCCGCAAAAAAGTTACAATTAGAGGGGATTTTTCTACGATTTTCAATAAGTAGAGAGACATATTGCAAATAAAAACGTTTCTAGGGGATTTTTTTGCTATTAATCCTAACTTCAATTATCACAGGAGTAATTACTCAAAACTCGAGTAATCATCCACATAACTAACCTTTATGGTATGACTTGTGGTTGGTGCATTTTTTTCATGATGGATAAAAAATAAATAAATTTTCATTTGTGCATCGCAGTTCCAAACCTTTGATTCTCGTGGGACAAAAAGATATATACACAATTGTCGTTAATTTACCACATTTTGAACGATTTTAAAAGGGGAAAAATAGTAACTTTATAGTTCCGACATAAAATAATTAAGAAAATTAAATCAAAAAATTGAAAAAAG